AAAATTCAGGTTTGTAAAATCCTCAATATAGCATTCTTCTTCTTCTTTCTTGGGTAGGTGTTTCGTAAAATTCCCATCAATCTGACGATGACCTGGTGAGCCAGTGTCGAAAATTAACCCAATAAACCACCGTTCCCCAAAGTACTTCTACCGAATTACGTTTTCAATGGCTTCGTATATCAGATAGATATAACTATACGGCACAGAGCACAGATTGCATATACTGTTAGACTCGAGCTCAGAGTTTTCACTCGAACCATTAATGTCACCAAACAGTGCCACATAACTTGCTACGTTTATGCCACTAGCCTCGCCAACAGGCTACCTGTAACCTTCACAGCGACCATAATTCCCACCCCCGCTATGGGGACTGGAATTTCTCCAGTGTAGGCAATTACGTATTTTAATTGCTTCGTATATCAGGTAGGTATAATTAGACGGTACACAGCACTGAAATGGTCTCTGCAGCGTGGAGACTGTAATAGCAAGCTCTGCACGTCACATCTGCCTAAATGTAGGCCATAATCGATCGATGTTCAAAAACGTTTATGGCCTGTGCACTAAAATTCCTCAATGCAGTAGATGCCAGCGGGGTTTGACGATACTAAAAAAGATATCATATGATAGTGTAGATGCTTTTTTTCCACATTCTTTCTGTATCTTCGCGTTTATCCATGATACATCTGAGCACGATACGCTTTCCCATGCATGGTACACTGCCAGCTATGTTTATGTAGGCGGGCATCGACGTGTTACCAATTCGCCTTTCTAAAGTCTATGAGTGTCGTTGCTACGCTGATGTTTCTGCTGTTGCTGCATGGTGCAGCAACGAGGGGTTCGGCTACTCAGTGGGTCTCCCAGCGTCCTCTATGCGGTTTTCCGTGAGCCGTGACTTTAATCACACTTGGGTCGATTTGTTCACCCAAAACTATTGATCTTATGGAATCCACCAGTACGGATACGATAGGCTGACTTCCAAGCAGGATATAGTCTGTTATAACGGCGGGTTCAGCGTCGCTAGTGTTATAACGATGACATCTGACGTGTGACACAGTCGAATTACGCCCTGTTGAAATCCCCAAGGAAGAACACAATACGAAGGGCATAATTCTGGAATCCACCCGGAGAAGAGATTATTGTGTACCAAACCCGGAGGAGCTGTCTCGGGTGGCTGTTGCCGCTGTTGCAGCCCTCTGTGTCCCGCCTCGGGGCAAGTCCGGCATTGGGAGCGGACTGGCGTCCGCTGTT